TACTTTTTAACCCCACATTCTTCCATCAATCACTATTCCAAATCAAATTCTTCTACAAAATGGATGTAAAACAAGGGCCAAGTATGAGCTATCTGAAACAAGATTCATCATTAAGGAACCAACCCTCATATGAAATACGTTGTGTATAGGAAATTTTAAAATTCTCAAATTTGCGCAATTCGTAACATAATAACTGCGACTACAAATTGAGATCAGATTATCTAATGAATAGAAGTAGACAGTAAAAACCCATGAGTTCTTTGCTTAGACCAAGATCAGGATTTTAGAAAAGCAAAAAAGTAAGAAAACAAAATAAAACATATCTTTTTGGGCTAGATGGCAGGCCAACTTGCAAAATGCGGAAAACAGGAAAAGAAATAGAAATCAGATTCAATGGTGCCTCAAGATGATTGCTTGTCTCCCTGCAATATTCATGAGCCACGTTCATACCAACAAGCACAAATGTTAAGGCTGTTTCAAAAATAATTCCATTATTAATTTCATTATACTGTGGCCTGCACATATACTTTTCAATCCATACCTTTGAAGAAACTTTATCAGAACTCCAGAATGCCTTGGCCACAGCGGGGGGCATCAGCTCAGAAACACCTTGGGCAACTATAGCAGCCACTTTGGCCTTCGATGCTATGTTTCTCTTCAGTATCATGATCTTCAAATCTCTTTAGGATATGCAACACAAAAGAACCCCTCTCCATATCCTTGACATTGGCTGGAACACGAACGAACTCATCCTTTGTAGGAGTATCTTCTTTATTATGTAAAACCCCACCAATAAAAAGCTTCATATCTAAATCTGTTTCGTCTTTCATTGTGTCACTATCTCCTTGGACAGCAGCCAGATCTGGCTGATTGTCATCCAAATCACTAGCTTCCTCTTCAGTATTCTCGCTGGTAATATTATTCTCATTTTCTTCTCCTATAATCTGTTGTCGGAAATTCGACTATCCCAATCGAAAGAACAAATAAAAACGTAGGAAAAACGGAAAAAAGAAGAAGATGAAGCGAGGTATGCCAAAGCAAATTTCCTTAAGACAGATTTCGCCCCCCAACAACGTGCAAACAG